TTCCTATATATGTCTACTTTGACAGAAAAATCAGAGTTGATAGTGCTTCTACAAGCATGGAACTTTACTTCCTCCTGTGCTTTGCAGTTTTTTTCTTAAAGCCTTTATTGAATTACTAGAATGCAAACAAATACAAAAAATGATGGATTATGGTATATATTTTACATTTTATTCTAAAAATGAACTAGATTTGGCTTTTATAAATGCCCAGTTATTTAGAAATTCTAACAGTATAATGCCTGGAATAAAAATTTGCTCAATTTTCCAATGACAGAGTAAATAACAAACAAAATTTATAGTGAAAAATAAAGTATTCCATCTTTAAATATAGCAGCAAGATATTTCAACATGAACTTTACTGTTTTAACCTAGTAAACCCAAAGCAAAACAAGATATTCTTATCTCTTACTCATTTATTGGGAAAATATTTAATAGTTTCATTTTTTTTCTGATCCTAGAACCAAAATTAAAGTTATGGGATCTTTAGGTTTTGTTTTGTTTTGATTTTTCACACCAAAATATAAAATTTATGACTTAAAAGTGCTCTGAGATTTAGGTAACAGATCTGATTTACTTCTTAACAGGAAGTTAAAAAGGCTTTCAACATTTTATAGACTTCATGAAAATCTTGTCTGAAACTTGTCAGTGACTCGGTTGAAGGAAGGAATACAGGAGAAACAGACATTGGCTAATTAGACGAACGTATCCAACTTTTCTGGATGTACTGAGATGATTGTTACTTCCCCCCCCCCCCCGTATTATCTTAAGTTGTTAGTGATAGTTTTTAAGTTTAAAGTTATTGTATAATTTGAGAAAAAAGTTGCAACATAATTTTTCCTGACAGAGAATATAATGACTACAGATTTTGTAAACAGCTCTGGGTTTGAGTTGCTATATGTTTGCTATTTGTCCTTAGTGAGTTATGTTATAACCTTTCCTAGCCTCAGTTTCTGTATCTGTAAAATGGGCATGACAACTACTTTCTAGAATTATTGAGAGGATTAAATGTGTTTATGTGAAAGTGCCTGGAAATGTGCTAAACTCAAATTTTAGTTTTATTTTCTTCCTTCACTTCCTATTTTAATCATTTTTAAAAGATAACTTGTGAGGAAAATACTATTCTGAGGGAATTTTTATGGAAAAATAATTACCAATAAACTATTGCAGCACAGTGAAATAACTGACCTAGCTACCTTTTAAAATACAGTTTTAACTTGAAAATTCACTGTAATTAATATTGGAATGCGATATAGCATTTATTCAGACACTTTGATAAGTGCTAATGTCTGTGATCCTTACAGAAGATCTGTGAGGGTGGCAACACATGGAGAAGTTGACTTGTTTAAGGTCATATGGCCGAGAAGGAGGCAGAACTAGAAAGTGAACTCTTGCTGGAAGTTTATTTCTACTCACAGCAGGAGCTTCACATTGTCTCAAAACAATACTGGACTTGAGACAACAACATGAAACAAGCCTCAATATAAAAAGAGACTTTGGACATATTTCATTAAATAAAACCCTTGGATTGAATTCAGGGTGGATCTGATCTATATCAAAGTTACTCTGTAGGTAATGATGTTATGATTAGACACCAAAATGGCAATATTATCCCTTCAGACGTATTTATGTTGCATATGTGTACACAAACACTCACTTGTGCCTTTAAAGTACACTATTAAACATTTAAATAAAGGGGAAAAATCTTTCCCTGACATACTTCTAAGCCAATTTAGGGGTCATTGAACAGATGACATATAATACTAATATTAAATTACCCTGTGTAATAAGAAAATTACAGTACCTAAGTGAAGATAGTAAAGGGAAACCATCCAATGAATTGCTGTAGAATTTCAAAATAAAATGGTTTCTTTAAAATTAACAGTGGCACCATATCACTTTAGAAAAGCGAGTCTGATAGGGAGAAGGGAAATCAGAGACAAAAGTGAGTCTTTTCTGTTTATGTATGCCAGTTTTTCGTTCTGTTGATAGAAGAGCTAATGTAATAGTATGGCTTTCAATTGTCCGAAAGCATGTTATTACTAAACTATGTGGCAAGACATTTATTAAAACCTAACGTCTCATTGAGTTGTTTAATATAAAATCACAATAGTTGTTTCTAGTCTACATATATTTCCTTTTGCTATTAGGTGTACTTTAAAAGCCTAATTATTTTGAGCACTAGCATGACCAAAGAATGAAAATTTACAAAGTTTGACAACTTTAAATAATCACTAGCATTTCTTAAAGAACAAATTTCACTTACAGTTAGGAAACAATATTTATATTTAAGGTTGAAAAGCCAGGATGTAGAAAAATTTTGCTAATTTGGAAGATGACCTTTAAGTGCACCAAAACCAAATAATTTGTAGGCTATGACATAGGGCACATTCCTACAAAATTTGTGTGAATACTGCTTTAGTGGTTCTTGAAAGACAAACAAAGAAAGCTGGAATGAAATCTTTATTTCCCTCCCAAATAAGAGGGAGACTAACAAAGGAGTACAGCAGCACCCTTTGTCAACGCTTGCCATTAAAACGAGGTCTCTGTAGCACAGTTAATGAGATGTTTCATAGTGGAAAACAATCTGTTTTTAAGAATGTTTAGATCAAAAGTAATTTCTAATCTATGAAATAAAGTCTCTTCAATACCCTTCATTCACTAGTAAAGCTTTTATGTTTGTATTATTTACTTCAATCAGATGTTTTCAATTTTACCTTTTTTCTTTATACAAATACTTGACATGGTTCATCAATACTGACCAACAGTTTTATTCTTTTTCTTCAGAAAAGAGATTTTTGAGAGAGGGAGAATAAAAAAGAGAGAAACATCTTTGCCTAAATGATTTGCAAGCATCTGTGCTTTAAGCTACTTTTTATGAACACTCCTTAGTAAATGACTCAAGGTAAAAAAGCAGAAAAGCATCCAATGTTAGGAAATTGCAATCCAATACCATGTAATTTAAACCTGCAGTTGCTTCTCTTGGACTAAATGACATACAGATGGGTAGCTTAGTTCTCTCAACTTTGGGAACACAATTGGTCTTTTTGTATGAATGAACATATATTAACAAAAATATTTTGGACAGAATTGTTTAATTGTACAGATTTTAATTATCTATTCCATTGGAAAGAATGATTTTAAGCAAGATATTTTGTCATGTTAAGTTTGCAGTTAATAACTTTTTTTTGACAAAATTAATGAAAATACAACCCTTCCAACAAATAAATAAATAAAAACAAAATGATACCTTTTAAGAAGTCTATAGTGAATTGAGCAGAAACTCATCTATCGTGGTCAACTGATTATTTAAGAAAGAGCTGTTCTACATTCAAGCTATTGAAATGGATTGTTCTGACAGGACAAACATTTCTCAGGGAGACATTTCTATCTACCCCTAGCATAGCAAAAATATAAGTAGTAGGTATTTGGATAAAGCCTAGTGTAATATGGGGTCCAATGAGATGAGAGGTGAACATGCCATTGGTGACATGGCAGCTGTTCCTGTGGATTTTTTCAGGCCAGAGAAGAGCCAAGGGACTTTGTGGAAGGTCAGCAGAGGTGCTGTTTGACAACCTGCAGGTCTACTCCAAGGTGTACCCTTCTGTTTGGCTCTGGCTTGCTCTTTCTGCCTCCGTATTCTCTTATGGAGAATCAACCACTGTATCGTGGTGACCCTGATTCTGGAAGCCAATATCTTTTTTCAATTCCACAATCAGAGTAACTGGTTGGTTAATTTTCTCCTAGTTTGATTTCAGTGATCTCATACTGTGACATTAGGTACCTTGAAAGTAAAAGAAGTAGACGGCATTTCCACTCCTAGATCATATTTTTTTATATATGTTTCAAAAGGAGTTGAATTTAATATTCGGGAAACTTTTTTTTTTTAATATTCAGGAAACTCAGCAAGCTTTCTTTTAGTGACTTCAAAACATGGTAAGAAGTCTTTACGTTTAGGACCATCTGCAAGCTTCTTTCTCACTGTGATGGATGGCAAAGAAAAGCAATTTTACTGCAGTGAGTAATGGCTGCCCTGTCCTGGGGTTATATTTCTTTTCAGTCATTTGTGCAGGTAAAATAAAATGCTACATATAAACAGGTGTTGTCTGAACATTTTACTGCAGTCTGTATAGGTTGCAATAAAAGCCACCATTGTTACTAGAATCATATTAAAATTATTTCACCATTCAAGTACGCTTAATCAGTGAAGTCTTCCTAGATATACTTTGCAAAAAGAAAATGTAGGTCTTTAAATAAAATCACATTCACTTTTCCTTTTTTCTTTGTCTTTCTCCTTTTCTATTTTTCTTACTCTTTCTTTTGGAACTTCTTGACGCTGCATAAGTGTAAATGCCTTCGGTAGTTTTTTGAAATTTCTTGCTGCCTGTTTAACATGGTAGGATACAGTCTTTAAAGAGACATTTATTTGTAAGGACCATACAGAAACTAGTGACATGTCTGATGGAATCAGAGAGAACAGCAATTCCTAATAATAGAAAAATACATCTTTATGCACCCCCCCCCCAAAAATAGGATGATAGTTAAATCATGGAAATTAAATGACAATGGTTTCAGGCTATTCTATCAACTCGCAAAATTATTGGAGAGTTCTGGTTTAACTTAATATGCCCATCATCTTATATATACAGTGTAAATGCTTGTGAATAGACTTGTACTTTTGAATTCATTTGAGAAAAAAGGGGTTTCAGAGTAGTAGGAGACATAAAGAATGTATCTTGTGAATGTTTATCACATGCTGGAAACTTTGCCTATAGCACATTGTCACTGCTCCAATGCTGTCACCTGAATCTTAAGAAACATTCCTTTTAAACTTAGAGAAATAATCAGCTGCAGTTCAGGTAAGCTAAGCTTTTCTAGTGCATTAGGGACTGGTCTGGTCATTGACAAGTGACTGCAGAAGCTGTGTTGTGGCGGCCAGCCAAAGCAATTATTTAGGATTCAAGCTAAAAAGCCTCCTTCTCCCATATCCTCTCTCTTTCCAGGGTCATGTAGGGATAAAAAGAACTGTAAGGTGGTCTTTTCCCAGCAGGAACTGAGGAAGCGGCTAACACCCCTGCAGTACCATGTCACTCAGGAGAAAGGAACCGAAAGGTAAGGTGAGCTGTAATAAAAAGGCATTAAGCAAGAGCTAGTTTTCTTCTCCCACTGCCTCCCTCCATTGACTCCTCTTCCTTGCCAATTAATTTTAAGAATTCTGCACTTATTTGCTAAAGTCTACAAATTAGTATCCTTGAAAAGGTTGAAAATGGTATTGTTTAGGTTAAGACTAAGTTTTATTTGTTCTTTCCTCCATTTAATGAACACTTCATATCTTATGTAAAGTCACAAAGCTTTTGTTAAGGGCCTGTTTTCAGTTTACTACAAAATGTGTGGAAGTAATAGCGATTTAGGTACATTTTTTGGGAAGACATCACAGTAAGCAAAACCATGAGGGATGTGGCGCTATGCCAGGATGCTGAAATTTTGAAGGTGGCCATTGTAAGTATAGACGTTTTGGCTGCAAAAAGAAGGTAGCATAATTTAGTTCCTTTCTACCCCACTCCAATTTCTTTTTGAAGCACATGTGGAGAAAGTATTTATTGGCTCATTTGTGGTTGGAATGTCAAAAATTTTCAATAACTGCCCTCACATGGCTTTGGTCCTTGGAAGTTCGCCCTAAGTCCTGAAAAAAGAGTTTGTTCACTTCCAAACTGTTTTTAGTGAATAAAGTCTCTCTCAGCTGATTCCAGCTCAAAGGTAAATTGCCAAGGTCCAATGATTTTGTTGTCTAATTTATACCATGGAGCTTGGCATAAGGCCGTAACTTACCTCTGATCCAAATTTATTAATGATGTAACTTCTTGTTTTCATTCATGAACTGAAAGAGCTCTCTACCACACATGGGATCCATGTCAATAGGCAGCTCTCTCTTCCTGTCACAGTATCTACTGTTTACTGAATTTACCAAATGTTGGGTCTCTGACGAAGTCCACCCTCACCATACAATGAGTTAGCAGTGGACTTCGGTTTCAGCTCAGGAGAACTTCTATCCATCCTGTTGTGTACACGACTAGCAAAATGATTTAATGCACACAAACAACCAGAGATTAGGTCATTCTTAAAAATTCTGTTTATAAAAAAATTGGACCTCATAAAGAGGGTGAAAGGATAATAAAAACAAGCTGCAGAGCACATAGACTTTTTGTTGGGCTAGCACAGCTGATTTGTATTAGCTGAATGACCTCCTAGCCTTTAAGATTGTTAACTTAGAAAAATATTCCCTTAAAGCTGCAATATTCCTTTTCAAACCAAAAAATAAGACTCCTTCCACTTAAAGTCTTGGACCCGTCTGCGTTTTCTGGTATACACTCTTGAACACTGTAAAGTAGCAGAAACCTTGTGTAATAATGTTCTTTCTGGTAATCTAAACTACAGGATTTTTTTTTAAAATAGGAAAAATTTTTTTCTAAGCATTACATAACTAGATGGTGTGATTTTTTTTTTTTTTATTTAACCTGCACTAGTTTGGAGTAGTTATATGCACATTTTATTATATAGATTTAAAATATATTAGTATTGTTCAGATTTCCATATGTTTGGTCTGTTCTCATTTTAGGACAAAATGCCCTTGAAAGATTTATTAGAGATATATATTTTAAGAAATATTTTCTATAAGAAATAGTGCTCACTTTAATTTTTTAATGGTCTGTTTATTGTTTATCAGTGCCTTTGAAGGAGAATATACACATCACAAAGATCCTGGAATATATAAATGTGTTGTTTGTGGAACTCCATTGTTCAAGTAAGTATGTTGAAAACCTGTAGGTATGGATACACTGTAACAAACTAGTTATTGCTTTTTCATCTTAGGATCTTTCCATTACGGAATTTTCTTCTATTTTTTTTTTCTATTTCTATTTACCCCCCACAAAACAAAAGTAATTATTGATTTCATGGCAAATTACCAGTGTGACAGACTGGCTGATTTTGCACTACTTGGATCTTTAAAATACCCAATGTTAACTTGTTCATTCCATTGTGCTTAACAGAGCTATGAAAGAGATTTTGGCGAGCATAGAAATGTTTATGTATTTATTGATTTTTCTATCTTGAAGAGATGGCCCTAAATGTGTTTCTTGGACCATAATGAAAAGTTTCTCATGTACGTCCTTCAGATTGAATAATATCCACCAAGTAGATTAATCATACTTTTGCAATGAAGGGAAATACCTGTATTGAAAGTAACAAAGTTAAGTAATATTAAGTTAACAGTTTTTGCATTGATCCAAAGTCCTTATTTTAAAGATCCCAACAGTTTGCCATAAAACAGGAGGTACATAGACTTTTTGACCATAATTAGTTAATTCAGACAGTATATTCTGGGGATTGTGGATCTTACTCAAAAAGGGAGAATCTTTACCGAAATTTATTTATCTAGATGGAGAAAAATCCTAGAAGTCCTGTACTTCCCATGGGTTGCTGATTTGGGGGAATAAAAAGATAGAAACCTTAACTGAGAGTAAATGTCATTTATTTAAAATAGAATTACAAAGTTTCTTAGATGAAATGAATAAATAAGAATCTGATGCTTGTAGCATGTAAAACACAATTAATATCTCTCCATAAATGTTTCTCTTTTAAAACACTAGCATTTACAGATTTTCCAGGAATAACAGGAAGGAGTAGTTTCCTTGAAAAATTTTTAAAAAGTTTGAAACCTTCTAAAATTGCACAAACTTTATTGCACATTAATGTTGGTTGAGAATCTGTTCTGAATTCTTATGTATTTATTCTTCATGTTAAAAAACCGACCTTCAAATTGTCACTCATTTCCTCTTAGAAAACACATGTCCTTATATTTCAACACCTTCAGCTTGTGTCATAATAGTTGATATAACACTTAAGATAGTTGCTGAGCCATGTTAAACTTAATATCCCAAATGGTAAAAATTGGCCACATCCCCTTTGCTTTTTGTTATAGATTCTCCATCTCTTTCCCTATCATGTGATTCATTAAAGTATGACATCTAAGGAAAACTTACTGTTTTAAATAAGAAACAGAACCCCTGCAAATGAAGGATTTAACCCATGTGAGATTTTGAGTCACAAATCCTAAAAGCAAGACTCTTATCCAAACATAGGTACTGGTGGGAGTCAGGTTTCACATTTGATGTTATATTGCCTCTGTTTCCTTTAGCATTCTTGTAAGGAAAGCTTTTGTTTTCTAAATTTTTAAGGAATATGGTTTAATATTTTTTTTTTTTTTGAGACAGAGTCTCACTCTTTTGCCTGGGCTAGAGTGCCGTGGCGTCAACTTAGCTCACAGCAACCTCAAACTCCTCGGCTCAAGTGATCCTCTTGCCTCAGCCTCCCAAGTAGCTGGGACTACAGGCATGCGCCACCATGCCCGGCTAATTTTTTCTATATATTTTTAGTTGTCCGATTAATTTCTTTCTAATTTTTTAGTAGAGATGGGGAGGTCTTGCTCTTGCTCAGGCTGGTCTCGAACTCCTGAGCTCAAACAATCTGCCCGCCTCGGCCTCCCGGAGTGCTAGGATTACAGGCGTGAGCCACCGCGCCCGGCCTGGTTTAATATTTTATTATACCATTATTGTATTATTATACTTTGTCTTTTTTTAATTGTTTGCCTCTTTTTACTTGGTTTCTTATCTATTTTGGGAAACAATTCCCTGCTCTGTCCTTCGCTGGAGAATGTAGTAGCTCATTGGTCTAGCGCAGCTGTCTTCGTGCTGGAGAATGTGAGCCCTGGGAGTCCACGAAGACTTTCCTGGGGCCACAGGGTATGGGCAGTTTTAAAGGAATCAATTTTCTGATCCTCAACTTTTGCGTGTACATTTTCCTGAAACTAGTGCATCTGAGAGGGTCTGTGGTCTACCATGTCTTCCTTCCCATCTCTTCTATCATGATCACCCTTCTCCCACTTCACAAAAGGTGTCATACCTTTCATTCAGCCCAAATCCTAACTGTGATTCATTGCCCTGGGTTACAGTTTCCAGGGCATCAAGCAAACTGACAGTTCAGGAATGCATTACTTCTAGAGAGACCCTTGAAAGCAAGGCAAAAAAGCATATTGAATATTGAAATAATATTTCATCGTGGCAAGGCTCCTGGCACGGCTCAGTCCACCTCCTGGTCTGTCTGCTTATCTCTCTCTCCATCTGCTGCCTGGCCTTCCATTTTCTGCCAGCCTCCTTAAGTGAGAGAGGGGCCATGAGAACCTGTATCAACATGTTATTCAAATGAAAAAGATGAAATAAATAAAAGTCTTTTATTTTGGACAGAGAATAAGTCTGATTTGGTTGATTGATTCCACAACGCGGACTGGCTTTGCAAATTACTTGATACTTTATATGGTAGACTTCATTCATTAAATAATCTAAATATGTAGCTCTAAGGTTTTGAAAGTATACATTTTAAGGATATATACAATGTACAGAATACCAGAAAATTAATATTTTGCAATTATTTAAATTTCTGATAAGAAATTTTAGCTGTGAATTTCAAATATATGAGGAAGTATGTATTAGTCAGCATCCAATCAAGATACAGAAACCACACAGTAATTTGAATAGGAAAGTTTAATATAAAGAATTATGAACTGTAACGGAGGATTGTGGTAACGAGAGACTGGCTACTAAGAAATAAAGAAAAATTTTAAAGAATACAGGAATAGCAGATATGAGAAGCAATCATGACCCCTGGGGCTGAGATGAAGAGCACAAGGAAACCGCCCCTGCCTTTTCTCCAGGGCTGAGATCTAGACCTGTTGGAGAGGGCATGGCTGTAATTGGTGGTCCCCAACCTTTTTGGCACCAGGGACCGGTTTCATGGAAGACAGTTTTTGCACAGTGGGGGTGGGGAGGTGGTTGGGGACCACAGACTGTAGCTACTAAATAGCAGAGAATTCATTATAGTGCCATGATAGTGCAACTTGCTGGAAATTCAGCCTCTGAAACTTTCCAGTCATCCGCCTTCTGGAATCTGCTGGAAATTTACCCTCTGGTGTGCTGGGGAAAGCTGTTTGCAGGAAGGTGTCTCCGTGGAGACACTCTACTACCAAATCACCTGAGAAGAGTGCTAGGGGAAGCTGCTGGCTGCTAGGCGCTGCTCATTGCTGCGCACTGAAAGCAGCACCTGCACTGGAGAAACGCTTGTGGGGCAGCAGCTGGGTGTTTGGCGAACAGTGTACGCTTCGAAAGCTGGATACAGGAGAAGCTGCTCTGCAGGAACCGAGTGCTGGAGAGGCTGCTTGTACAGAAGTTGCTGGGTGCAGGAGAATCCATTCACACTACAGAAGCCTGGCACTGGAGAAGCCTCCCAAGCTGCAAGAGCCTGGAAGTGGAGAAGCTGTGTGTGCTGCAGGATCCAGAAGGGAAAGAAGCCACATGCTCTAGAGAAGCTTATTAAGCAAGCATTCTGAAACCAGAAAGGAAAGACCTTTTCCCCCTGCAGTTTCTCTTGTGCCCACTACTGGCAAAATTTAGCATCATGCTAACTGATGAAATATTTAAAGGGCCCAGCTTCAATTTGGCAGAGCAGACAAGGAAGATGGATTTAGAGGTGAAAGGCAACAACTTGATAACTGGCACAAAATCTATTTTCTTTTCAAAATTCTTTTAGGGGTTCATGAGCAAAAGTTTGAAAACCACTCCCAAGTCTGATGAATTAGTGGTGTCACTATCGGGGCCCTGTAGATAGTTGGTTTTATGCTTTGAACACAAAGTGTAGGAACCAGTTGAGGGGCATGTGTACGTGTGTCTATAGTGTCTGTTAGAGAGAAGGGAGTTAGGGGAGAAAGTTTATGCAGAACAGATTAAATAGAAGTGCAGTATGAGAAATAACAACGGGAAGGAAATAGATAAGAAAGAAAAATAAGGAACGTTCTGAATCTGAAAATATCTAATCATTAGTGGTGTGAAAAGTTGTTTCCCCAACTTCTATTAATATTTCTGTTATTCACAGTTATATTATATGTGTGTGTGTGCACATATGTACATAATCCTCTTCATTTACTTGACTAACGTGTGTGTGTTTTAATTCCTTACATAAAGGCTATTTGATTATTCTCATTTCATTTTCAAACTTGTGCTCTACTCTAAATACATTCCCTCTCTGAACAATATAGTGCTTTCTTACTGCTTACCAAGTACAAGAACCTCATTCACAGTCTTCTTATAAACCAAATGTGTAATTTATTCCATGGTTCACATTTTCTTCACATTCACAAATTTTACCAAGCTAGTTTATTTCTCATGTAGTACTACTGACTTTCAGTTAGTAAATTAAATGACAGAAGCAAGAATGTTCTCTCCT